TTTACTACATAACCTATAAGTCATAAAACATAAAATAAAAACAAAACCCCGTGTCCTGCTAAAATATAATTTATTTACATAAGTAGCAAATGTTAAAATCTTCAAACAGAGATATTTCAACTTTGTTCAGGTCGGGCCCAAGCTTGTATGGAATCAAGTTAATTTCCTTTCTTAATAAATAGTATGCAAATAAAAAATAATAGTTAACATAATACCTAGAAAGTGTACACTTTGACCACACCCTTTGCTGTCAGATACTCACTACGGGCCTGCAGACTTCGTTATGCGACAATAAATGACAGAATAAATTGCAAATGTCTACATACAATGCGTGTTTTCTGTGACATTTATGAACATCCTACGAAGACGAACGCATGATGAATATAATAATAATAATTCTTTAGTGTAACAACATCATGAGAACCAATTAAAAATGATGTGTGTGTGTCTGTGTGTACTAGTACGTGTGTAATTCACACAGTAAAAACGTTTATAAAATATGTAAGTATGTAAATATGTATTGCTCCATATCATATGACTTATTTAACAGGAAAGAGCGGAAGAAAGTTAAAGACCTAGGTTTTTTTTAAATAAAAAAAATATTTTTGTAAACGAAAAATAGACAACTGGTAGTGTGCGTACTATGTCTTTACGACGTTTTGTAATTTAGATGAGAGGATTTTTACTATGCTGTAGTAATACTGCGTGAAGTATAAATAGCTGCTTCACACTAAGTTTATCAATTTCAATTTCAAGATCTGTCAGTTTGCAAACCTTACATGTTAAGAGATTTATATTTATTTTAAAATTAAGGTGTTTATCTAGTGTAATATGGAGATAATTTATATTATCTACAGAATTTATCTGGAGATAATATAAAGTATGTAAGTAACATGGAAAACCATGGAAAACATTGAGGAGAACAAGGACGAGCTTTTAGTGTGTACCATTTATTCTATTAACCATTATTTATATTTCTTATTAACCATTTGTGTACGATTTGTAAGCTTATTTCAGAAAAATCTAACTTTAAATTTTGATAGCCATTTTTTTGTAACTTGGCTAGAAGAGTGGAAGCAGGGATTGTGTCAAAGGCTTTTGCTAGATCTAGAAATATTGTTAGGACCTTCTTATTACTATTTAGAATTACTGGCTTTATTTATTCATGAACTGAACATCTCTTCGTAGCGCCAGTGAAGCGAGCCAATCGGAAAGCACTCGGTCGTCGATGATTCGAGCCGCTCTGCGCTGGATGCGGTGAATGGAAGGAGCTGGCATTGGGGAACCCCAGACCAGAGATGGGAACAGTATTCCATGTGCGGCCGAACCTGCGCCTTGTATAGTTGAAGGCGGTGTGCCAGCGTGAAATACTGTCCCGCTGCTTTTTTTGCAGCCTGAGCACCCACGCTCAGGAGTGGAGTAACTTGGTCGTGAATGCTCAGCGAGGGATTCTCCAGGGGTGCTAGCACCCTCCTGGGGTAGACCTTCACTTAATTCCGCTAAGATTTTAAGGGGGGGGGAGGATTGGGCCTCCGGCCACCTGCACTCACCAGGCAAACCGCCGAAGCCGAGCTTCCACTTCACGCCGGTATTCGGTCGTTTTTAGGTCGTGGTACCACCCCGGTTTGAGCTGGCCCATACGTGCAACAGCAAAGCTGCCGCGTGGCTCTACCACTGTTAACTGTATTGTGAGCTGGTACACTTAAAATGAATTTTCTTGAAGAGCGTAGAGATTCCCCTGGAAGCCCTACAAAATGAAACTTCTTCTTTAGATCGGGAGGAGTAGAAGGATTAAATAATACACATTACATAATAGAAAGAATATGCATGTACCGGCGAAGTCGGATATAACCACTTGAGACGTGAGCGAAATTGGGAAATATGGTCAAATTTGCGCTAACCAAATATGAACCGAATACTAGTATTTTGAAGTCTCTCAAGCTTATTTAGCTGGTCCTCAGTTATGTCTACATAGCTTGCGTCAACATAGTCGAGTTTCGGAAGGAGCAGTGACTGTGCGAGCATAATTTTGTAGAAACGGGAAGAAATGAGAATTTTTCACGTGGTAGAGCTATGCTGCAGTTATATTAGTAGTATAGTTGTAGCACGAATGGGTCGGCTCGACCGGGGGAAGGATCACGCTCTCACAGAATACCAGCGTGAAATAGTAGCTTAATGCTGCTGTATTTCGTATGGTGAGTGTAGAGAACCGGAGACCCTTTTTACTGGAAACGAGGATTCCATCTTAGTCCTCACGGGTGACAACGCATCTGCATTTTGATTCGTAATCGAGGATAGATGTAGATGTCTATGGGCCACAGCAACCACTTACCATCAGGTGGACTGTGTGCTCGTTTGTCACCCTATCCTGTAAAAAAAAATGATCGAAGACGACGCAGTGAACTAAGAGCGACAAAGGTTTTTTTATTTACCTTATTCAGTTGGCGTATCCAATTTAAGGAATTATCAAAATAAACACCAAGATTTTTGAAATTGTCAAAGTAAGTGATTACAACTCCATCGAATACAACATATGGCACGGTAAACCGGTCAATTCTTGAGATAAAGCTCTGGTTACCAAAAATGATAGCCTGTGACTTTTATGATATCTATAGGCCACAGCACGTCCACTCCACTCGTCATCAAATGGACAGTGTACTAGTTTATTAACAAAGTTATGTAAATAACACAGTTGATCAAGATCTCGTATCGTTTTTATTGAACAAAATCGACTTTTCACTAGATAGTGGCAAATTAAAAGAATTTAAGGTACATATTAATACGAATTAATTTTGAGAGTTATTTAATAATTTCTGATATTTACGCGAAAACTACACATCGATTTAAACTTCTTTCGCGGGTTTTATCGCATTTAATTTAAATTATTTTTAATTTCCGACGTTTTGGGTGATTTCCAGCACCCATGGTCACAGGGAACTGAGATGATTGACGTCCCTATGTCAATTTTAACCCGGAGTCCCTTCAGCTTTTTAATTATTATAGTATACCGGGTGTTACAAAACTACCCGTAAAGCCGAAAGGAGGTTAAATGGGGCCTTATAACGAGTCCATTCACAATATTTAAGAACCGTAGTAACGCTGTATAACTTACCCAAAAAAATAGAATTACAACTTTCAATGATCTGCAAACCCTATTTCAGTAAAATTAAAGAGTAAACCACGCAGATTGTACCTACATTTCTACCTAATTCTCGGAACGACAAAAATTTTAAAAGACCTAATCTAACGAAACAACCTAAGCGAACACTTACTTTTTCATAATAAACGTCAAATTTACAGAAACGGCTCAAAGTGCTCCACCTTGCTCAATAGACAACCTCGCTCGTCGAGATATGGCTTGTGTGGCATTTCGCACCATTGTCGGTGTTATTGATGTGAAAACTGACCTAACACGCTGTTCCATCTCGGCAACCTTTGGTCAATCAGAAAAATACACTCTGTTCTTTACATAACCCGACAAAAAGAAGTCCAAGGTGTAAGATCCGGAGAACGAGCAGGCCATAACACCGGTCCTCCGCGGCCATCATCGCAGAAAGCGAAATTTAAAATGTTCTCGTACGTTGTGAGCAAAATATGCTGGAGCTCCATCATGCTGAAACACCACGTTTCTTTGGTTCTCAAAGTAATCCCAGTCAGCTACAGGAAAGTCGTTAATCACCTCTTGGAATTCCGGTTGCAAAAACGTTAGATAGTTCCTACCGTTCAGAAGTGATGGCGTAATGCCGGGACCGATAACATGCCAGTCATAAAGGCCAGCCTACACATTCAGCCGCCACTGGTGTTGGAATCCACCCTGCCGTGAAGCATGTGGATTCACGCGAGCCCAAACGTGATCGTAATGCATATTTGCAAGTCCTGACCTCGTGAATGTTGCCTCGTCCATCCAAAGAACATAGTTTACGTAATTAGGGTTTTCCTCTAACTGCCTGAGGTACCACTCACAAAAGTTGCTCCTGGGTGCAAAATCGGAGGATCACAGCTCCTGTATACGGCGATAGTGGTAAGGGTGACGATTGTCGTCACGAAGAATTCGCCAAACTGCAACATGGTTTATACGGAATCTTGTTCCGGTTCGCCTCGTACTTGTGGTCGGCTATTCCTCAAAATGCTCTAACACTACTCGTAATTCAACCTGCCCGGCGTAGACTGTGCTTGGACGTCCACTTCCAGTGGACCGATGAAAAGAGCCGGTGCAGTGTTGTCGTCTTGACATGTTCAGAAAACACTGGTACGTAGGCAGCCGTCGCTGTTCATTGGGGGGTCTACCATCGATAAATCGTTGCCGATACAGTTCGCGAGCACGATTTAAATTGCTATTATTCATGGTATTTATTCATGACCTACGCATAACATCATATCGTAATATTCCGAGTTAAAAAGCATCGTTATTTTGCCAAAAATGTTGGAAAAAAAACTCGAAACAGTTGTAGGATAGCGATTAGAAGATTTGAAATTGACAACATATTTTTTTTACAACTTGACACATTTTGAAGCCAGTAGTTGAGTACAATGACATCCTTGTATTGAGGTGGCAAACATTCATGAAGGAAAAATAGAAAACTATTAAAGTAGACAATTATTAGGTAAAATAGGTACGCCTTTACGTACGCCACAGGCCTTTCTGTTAAATAATCTGGTTCCCTGATATGACAGCTTACTAGGGTTGACAAAATTTTTGGCTTTGATAATTAATTATATTTTTACGGGGTATTTTGTAACAGGTTGTAGTATAAAGTTGACAAAGTAAATACCATAGATATTAACACGTTTCTTCGATTAAAATCATGCAGATCATGCGTTATCACCTCCGAGAGCAAAGATGAAATGCTTACTTTCCAGTAAATAGCCGCTATTTTATCCTAGTATTCTATAAGAAGGTATAATATTAGGTGGCTCAACCACGTTTAAAGAGTGTTTGTTACGTCAATAGAAATTGTAATGTCAATAAAAAAAAACATATGATAAACGGGGCATCATTTTTATTTGGATACCATATTTGGATAATATATAAGTATTTCTTCAAATATATCCACGATGTCGAATTCGTAAATCTTTTTATCTAGGGCATAGTATTGCATAAACAGTGTTTCCATTGAGTAAGCACTTAGTTGGACGTCAGGAGCGATTTCAATATCGAAAGGTTTTGCGGACCCATCAGCAGACAAGATGTAGGTCTTTCCATCAACAATGAATGGGACCGAGTCTTTCATGTTTGAACTTGGTCTAAGAAGATGAGCTTTAATTGGATGTTCAGGTGTTCCTTCAATCCTTTTTACTCCATATTTACTGTAAACGAAAGGCTGTTTATCTGCGTCGTAGAAATATAAATTGTTTTTATAATCCAGAACAATTTGTTGAGCACCGACAATCTCTTCGATCTTCTCTTTCTTCTCACCAGCTTCAGACACTTTAAATACTTCGAAATCTTCAGTGAGAATGTAAATCACATCACTGTCGTTCTCCTTAGCAATTCCAATTATACTATCAGACACTGTACCGTATTTCTCAGCTGAATTTTCTTCATAATTGTACAAATAAATACCATCTTTAGCAGCAAGGTAGACCTCCTGGCTATTGTCATTAGCTGCTGATGCGTCCCGACCATAATCCAATATCTTCTTAGGTATGCCATTTTTAATAACATATAATCCCTGGTCTATTCTTTTGCCTGATTCATCTTCATCAGCTTCGACGAAGAAAAGTGTAATTTTCCTGTTGTTATTCGGTTTCTCTGCGTAGTTGAGACCATTCAAGGGTACGATAATGTTAACAATTTCGTGTTCGCCGGAATAGACTACGAAAGATTCGGGGAATAAATCTCTTGTGACTACAAATTTTTCATCAGAGACGGGAGCGGCGCTAGCAAGTCCCATCAACAGGGCAACAGCGAAACCTGTAGGAATCTGCATTCTTGCTTCTGTAATTTAAGAAAGGAACAATTAGGTATATACATTTGAGTTAAATAATATACAAACCGTTACCGTTACAGTCTATTAAAGTCCACTAATGAATATAAGCCTACCCCCATAATAAGCTGCGGTTACCATCCCGCTTGCCAAACGTGGCAACTATGGCATATATTCCTCCTATATGCAAACCGGGACTTTAAATAAAATAGAAAGTAAAATAACTGTCTATACAGGCCCCACGGCTGGGCAAAGACCTAATATCTTTTTCTGAGTCGGTATTCGGACAGAAACAGTACGCCGTACTGCACACATGTAGCTGAACTTTACATATCCCCGAAATACATTAACAGTCTTAGACTATCAGCATTGCGGTTAGGTAACTGGTGGTAATCGCTTAACGAAGGGAATAACTCCTCAATCGCACTATATATTTTTTATAAGATGGATGCAGGTGTTTTAGGACCGCGTTTTGTGGCGTTCCTTGGTGTAAGCCTAGTTGTAATTATGATGATTATAATAATGATTTTAATTGTAACTCACCTGAGTCCACCGTATGTATGATGCGCTGTTCAAGTACTTACGAATATATACAATAATCTAAACGATAAACAAATCGAATTAAAATTGGTCACCTACGACTTGATTGTTATTGTTGTTGAAAAATGACCCTTATTACGTTTTGATATACCGGAAAAAAATAGCATTTAATTGTACGTAACATTAATTAAAATAACAGTGTGATCAGTTTAAGATAACGTGAGGTAGAAACATTAGGAGATGCAGAAGCTGTTTGCGTGGTGTTCTGTATTGTAGTCAGTTGTGGGTGTAGATTCGAATCCTGTATAAGAATGATGGCGAACGTATTACCGGTGAGACACTGATCTATGCAGGCTTTAGTCATAAGTGATTATATTTATAAACAGCTCCACCCCGGCTGTAAGATTAATGTGGCGATAATAAGATTTAATATAATATAAAACAATTTTTTCGTTTTCTTTGAAAGGTCCAAAATTTTTGGTCGAGATCCTCCTGGCATTGCTCTTTATCTGTACGTGAAGTTTTATTACAATTATGTCAACCACTAGGTTGACCGATACGTTGATACTACTGATCCGGAGGAGCCTTTACCATTGATAACGACTTTTAGAGTTCTTTTATTTACATATGAAATCTCAATAAAGCCTATTATTTATTGTCTAAGCGCAATATTTTTGATACCGCAATGTTGTAGTTTATTACAGAGACACAACTTGGAAAGATCACAAAAAATACCTAAGGCATCTATAGTCCGTTCGCGTTAAGAAAATAGTGAGTCATCGTTGTCCGCCGGCCTGGCCACGCCCCCTAGCCAATTAAAATACAAGAAATTAGAAAGTCGAGTTCACAGTGACCAGTTGAAGTCAGGCCTTCGAACAAAACGATTGTGTATTTTGCGTGTTACTCGTTCAACATTAAACTTTGAAAATGAATACCTCACCTATTCGAAAGAATAAAAGGGGATCAATAATCGATAGCGGAGATAGACGCGTAATTTACAATGTTTATAAGTACTATAAACTGTGTGATTTAAATGCAACTGTGGAGAGCACAGTAATAAAAACAGCAAGTGCATGTGGTGTGTCCAAAAATGCTGTATATAAAATTATTAAAGAACAAAAGGATACTAACACGTTAAAATCACCCGTGAAAAAAAGAGCTCGACTTTCGACGGTCAATAAATTAGATGAACTAGACAAATGTGCAATAAGGAGAAAAGTTCACTCAATATATTTAAATAACGACTACCCGACATTGGACAAAATTATGACACTTTGCGAAGCTGACGAAGATATTCCTGTTTTCAAACGTACTTCATAAAATAATGCACGAGCTTGGTTTCGATTTCAATAAACAGGATAGCAGAACATTGTTAGTCAAAAGAGAAGATATTGTTTTATGGAGGCGTAAATATCTGAGGCAAATAAAAGAATACAGAGCCGCTAATAAAACTATTTACTATCTTGACGAAACGTGGGTAAACGCCGGACACGTAAAGACTGACATCCATAAAGGTGTCAGACAGGGCTGTGTGGCTTCCCCGTGGCTGTTCAACCTATTTATAGACAGTTGTTTGCAAAATTTGAAAGTTGAAGAATGCGGATTAAGAATGGATGAGTTAACCGTCAAATGACTTTTGTACGCCGATGATCAAGTTATTCTTGCGTCATCGGCGGCCGAGTTGCAAATGATGGTTACATTAATGAACAGGTCATTTAAAGAAAGGGGTATGAAAATGAACGCAAGTAAGACGAAGGTTATGGTTTTTGAAAGAGAAGAAAGTAAAACGATTTGTGAAATAAGAATAGAAGGGGAATTGATCGAGCAAGTAGATGAGTTTGTATATTTGGGTTGCGTATTTAGCAGGGAATGGGAGATATGATAAGGATATAGAACGACGAGTGAATGCGGGAAATAGAGTAAATGGGACCCTACACTCTATTGTGAAGAGTCAAAATATGTCGAAAAAGGCACGTATGGCAATTCACAATGCTGTGTTGGTCCCTACTTTAACGTATGGTAGTGAAAGTTGGGTGTGGCATAAGAAGAACGAGAGTAGAATAAACGCAGTAGAAATGCGGTCGTTAAAGGAGTATGTTAGGGCTGAATCTGAATGACAGGGTGAGAAATTGTGTGATAAGATAAGAGTGTGGTTTGCAAGATGATGTTGTGACCAGGATTAAGAAAGGAATGCTTCGGTGATTTGGTCATGTGGAAAGAATGAATGAGGAAAGAGTGACAAAGCAAATTTATGTTGCAGAAGTGAATGGCAGAGTCTGAAAGGGATGCCCTAGGCGAAAATTTATCGGCCAAATTGACGATTTATTGAAAACGGGCCAAATTAGGAGTACCCTTAACCGACGAGCATGTATGCGGTATAGGATGTGAAGGAGGCGAGAGAGGTGTGTCAGGATCGTGCCAAATATAAGTCTGTAGTCTCTGCCTACCCCTCTGGGTGACAGGCATGAGTGTTTATATATGTTATGTATGTTCATAAGTTCGACGCCTGCGTCAGTCGTCGAGCGATCCCTTGTGAAACCAAATTGATTTTATGAAAGTAATTTTTAAAAAAATAAAATAAAATAGATCTAAAATTATCGTTTTAAAAATTTTACTGAGAGTTGGTAGTAGAGAAATAGGTCTAAAATTAGCGTGGTTTAATGTACTACCAAATTTAAATAAAGAAATTACTTTTCTATGTTTCATTAAATCAGGAAACATACCAGTTTCAATACTAGTATTAAAAATTATAGCAAGATGAGGTGCACTTAAATCTATTATAGGCGTAATAACTGTTACGGAAATCCCCATAAATCTTCGGTTTTCTTTACATATTCCAAGACCCTTGTTTTGAAACATTTTACAATACCTTGTGGTAATTCTTTTTCAAATCTAAATTCTTTTAAACAGGTATTCTGTTTGAGTAATGAATCGGCGAGAGTTTCAATGACTTTGTTGTCAAATTAGGAATGCCACCAAAAACATAATTCTAGTAAAAAAACCAAGTCTCGCAACTCAGTTAGTCTACCATAAAAGGTTTTGAGAACCATGTAATATAAAGTCAAGAACTTTGGCCATCGCATGAAAACACAATGTATCTCCCAAGTAATGCATCTAATATAAATTAGATTGTTTAGTGCGATTGCCAAGTCAATCTATTTATTTAAAACATAAAAGATTTTTAATATTGATACGATTACTATAAGATCTTGTTAGGTTAGCTAATTACGTAATAACTTAAAACAGAAGGAACCTTAAGTAGGGACTGAATAAATTAACCGACTTGGTATTACATGGATCTCACAACTTTGTACGGTAAAAGAACTGAGTTGCGAGACTTGGATTTTTTACAAGTTATGTTTTTGATGGCATCTCATTTCATTTTGTAGATAGTCCTACTTTTTCCTTTCCGATATCTTCGACTTCTTGAACACCAACAACATACCTATCTACACCTATCATTGCGTTATATTATACATATACAGATACACTGATTCATTCACTGCAAATATAACTTTGTAATCCTAATATATTTTATTTTTATTTATTTATTTATTAATTTATTTCAATCAACAAGGATCATAGGGTAAAATAACATACATTAACATTTATTCTAATACTAAAATTATAAATCATTACTAATATTAATTATATCAAATGCGTAAGTATTTATAATAATATCGAAAATAAAATAATAATTTAATAATAATAAAATAACATAAATCTATTTCACCGTTACACATACATCATATCCGATTTAATTATATATTAACAAAACCACCAACAAAACTTACCATAATGATATAATACAATATTATTTTTAAAAATACAAAGAAAAAGTCTTAAATATATGTAAGTAAAATTAGGTAATAAATTAGTTCATATACCTGAGGTTCCGGTCCGAGGTAATGGGTACATGGACATGAACCCAGTGCCTCAAAAAAGCACACTCGGATTTCTCACTAATTACGTTAAGAATGCTGTTGGCGCTCCCACGAACCCTGTGCATCAGAGACGCAGTTCTTTTGCGAATAAGTGTTGAAAAATTGTCTACGTGGGCGTCAACAAACATACCTGATGCACTACAGTAACGTGGGAGCCCCTGCAACAATCTAAAAGCGTTATTATATTGTGTACGTAGGGTGTTGTATGCCCGCCGTGTATATCTGACCCATAAGGCACACGTATAGAGGGATTGGCAATAGGCCTTAAATAAAATAACTTTTACCTCGGCTGTACAGCGTGAGAACCGACGGGCCAGCATATTGCAGCGGACAGCCAGCGCTCTCCTTTCTCTTTCAATGTCTTTATCATCTTTTAAATCTTCAGTAACAACATGGCCTAGGTACTTAAATTCAGTTACTCGTTTAAGTGCAACACCCCCCTAAAGTTACAGGTGGTACTAAATTCGGTTTCTTCGTGCCCACCTTAAACACCATGAGCTCACTCTTCGCAATATTATATTTTAGAC